ATTCTTCTCCCAGTATTCTTGTGACCTATCCATGGCATCATTTCCGATGTGAAGCCTGTGAAAGGAAGATGCTTTATTTATTAACCAGCATGCCTACGGTCCACAACTCCAACCTCACCTTGAGATCAAAGTTGGACGGAGAAATTAAAATTTTGAAAAGCTAAATATGTCAAAGTACAATGGATGACAAATCTCACTCCATACCAATCTGCACAAAGATCCCAAGACTAATTAAAGGATCATGTATGTAAAATATCCTTTTTAATTCAGTTTTCTTTTTTGTTTACTCTTGCTAATCAAAAAACAAAATTTTGAAACAGGGAGAAAAGTTTTGATGAATATCTATCCTTATGGACAAAGGAAGCGGAATGAAGGAACCGCCATGACCTAAAAAAAACACTTTGTGCACTCACGAAAATGATAGTAACAGGAGATTCAATTTTTGTAATATGGTTAGATTAAAAAGATAATTGAGTATCAGGGAAGCATAATAGTGACCACACAAAACATGATAAAATCTAGATTTCTCCGTAAGGCAATTTAGCTTTATCTCCTAATATCACGGCTTTTGTCTCCATCGAAGTTCATACAAATGGATCAAAGAATAACAAGGCCTCTAATAATTTCTTTTAATTCAATTTTGCTCAAAAAACTATAATTAAATGGTTAGAAAATTATAACTTAAGCTAGAAAGAAAAGCTGCTATTTTTAGAAAAAGAAAGTGAACGTACAATACTGAGCATATGCCTCAAATACTAACGTGAAGAAGATCCTAGAGCTAATTAAAATATCATGTCCTTGAAAGATCCATACTAACTCATTTTATTTTTTGTGTATTCTTGTTAATTAAAAGACAAACATAAGGGAGACTTGATAAATACTTACCCTTGCAGACAAAGGAAACAAAGAAGCAGCCACAATCTCAAAAGTTGCTGCACACAAAACAACTCAGATCACTGGGAAAATTTATTTTAACTGTTTTGGAAAAAATTAAGATATACACTGTCTGAACAAACTAAACTGGTCTTATAAAGACACCTATATAATTTTCCACTCCTATTTCAGGAAAAACCTTTCATTTCCGTCGAATGACCTGGCCTCCCCTTTGTTTCATATCACAAATTTGATCAAAATAAAGCAGGTCATACAAAATCAAATATGTTTTTAGTTTACCTTTTAGCAGAAATGAACATGATTCACTTTGTTTGGTTCGCTATCTGCAGCAATGTTATTGAGCTTAGCTGGGCTAAACATCTCTTCTGCCAAAACCCCTAATCTAGTGAAGAATAAATATTAGAAGTAAAAGAAAAGTGTTAAATTTGCTCTTCAATCAATAGAAAATCGGAGTACAGAGAAATGGATCAAAAAATTATACACAAAACAAAAGTATCATCAAGCACATGCCATCAAAAAGAGAAAAGAAGAGCTAGTTGACCTCAAGTCAAATTCATTGCAGCTGAGAAACTGTCCATCTTTTAATTATATGCTCTGGGGCATTCCTATAGATAAAATAAGAGGCAAAAACCAAAATTTATATAGGATGTTTTTCTCCAGTTTGCAGTAACCTCAAAAGGAAAAATAATCAAAATGCAATTCCCCAAATGCACATAGTCACTTATCAAGCTACCAGTCGCCCAGTCGGTGAGAGCTAAGAGGTCATGGTTGCTTACCAAGTAAAGAAGACACCCAATTCCAGATTCATCTGATTGCCACAACAGCAGAGATGACTCAAAGACCTCTAGAGAAAAAACAGCTCCAGAAATAGCACCTACAGCAGCCCCTCTTATAAACCCACTCTCGGTCTCTTGGCCAATCAAAGCTCCAGTCATTGCTCCTAATAAAGTACCCACTGCAACAACAAAGGAAAAAAAAATGCTTCATTACTTTCAACTAAACAAAATATGACTCAAACGGGTAAAACACAATCTTTCTTGAGCTCTCAGATCAAGACAAACATGTGGTTAAAGTGAATAACATAGAGCATATGACACTACATCAACTTGACTCAGGTTCCAACCATTGTTTTAGAGCGTCAAAATATAATGTAAAGAACAAACCATCATTTGTGTTTTATACCGATGTTGCCATGTATTATCTCCATACTGAATACAAAAGTAAAGCATGCAAGAACTATGAATATCACTTGCACACATTTTAATATATCACTTTCATAAAAACAGTTAGGAAGTTATGTGTTTCACCTGGAATGAGGGGATTGGGTTAACTGCCCACTTATGAGTAGAAATCCAAAAATGCTTACCAGTAATACTGACTTGTCCTCAAGGTAGTCAAAGTCGAGCGCCTGGGCGCTTAGCGCACCAGGCGCAGCGCAGAGAAGCTTCAGCGCTTGAAGAACGATCAGGCGCACCCCCAGCCTAAGGCGCAGCTTAGGCGCAAAAGCGCAACTGCAATAAAAAGCGCTCGCTGTTTGCACCTGATAGGGGAACACGTTTTTTTAAGTTCAATAAGAAGCCCATATTTTTAATAAAGCCCGTCTAAATAAGGTCAGAACAAAATATACCTACGGTAACAACACACCCGTCAAAATATACCTATTCGCTCCTCCTGTCCTCCACATCAACTGCAGAAGTTGGCAGCAGTAAGCTTTCTTCTCCATCGTTCTATTTTCTTTCTTTTTTCTGTTTTCTTTTTTGTGCCTTGCGCCTCAGGCGCTGGGAATACCCTATCACCTTGAATGTGCCTCACGACTTTGACTACCTTGCTTGTCCTACAATCCTGTCAAGATAATAAATCTTCTAAGATGAAAAGTTCGGTTTATTTACGAAATTGCCGCCACGCTTTTTATCACATCTAGTTCATTTTTGGCTCATTTTGAGCCATTAGATCTGAAAATGAATGCACAAGATTAATTCTCAATTTGCATGGGAAGACCTCTTTGTATTTGAACCCTCCCCTTCAACGATGGCTCTGTGTACCAGAAATCTGAATTAAATAATGATGGAGGACGGTGGAGAGAAGAATTACAGATGAAGGTTCGTGTATTCAAAAGCAAAAGCTCGACGGCGATTGAGGAATTTGTTCTTCAACGAATGAATCTTTGTATTAGAAATATGAATTCAATGATGATGGAGGAGGGTGGAGAGAAGAAATACACAGAGAAGAGAGTAAGATGGAGGCGGAATAAAATATGGAAAGAAGGAACAGTTAAAGAATCCTGAACGGTTCTAACATGGGAGCAGAATCACAGAAAGTGACCTTACTCTACCCTTATACGAATAATTTGATTCGAGAAAATAATCTTTCAATCCAATGGCCATGATTAGTTCTCATTTCTCTCCTAAGAGGTTATTCTCATATCATCCCTACTCTCTCCCTCTCTCTCCCTCTCTCTCTCTCTCTCAGATGACACTAGTCTTTCGGAACAAGATGTCTTCAGGGAAGACATTCTGTTACAACTATTCATAATCTCCATATTCAACAAGGTTCAACTCCAACCACCCAACCCGTCTCTTAAAAGCAAATTTAAGCCACTTCGAAATGGTCCCAGAGAATGCTTTTCCTACATCAAATACATCCTAAAGTGTTCCAAAGTTAGCGCCTCTTTGCGTGGTGGAAATTTCAGGACTAAGTTCATCCATCTTACATACTTGCGCCTTTCCTCACTGCGTAGCTTGTCATCTCAAGCAATCTTGTCCAATGCACTGCTGGTATCAAAATTGTGGCGCGATGTTTGTTTCCACAAGTTCTTTCTTCCAACAAAATGAAAGAACACTCATGTGCCCAGCTTCCTTCAGCAGAAGAAGAGATAATATCACAATGACAATGTCATCTGAAAGGCAACTTATACAATTATAATGGTCAACTCTCTCAGCAGCACACTGAAACACCGAACAAAACAAATACATAATAGATTTTGAGATTGTGTCGGTGAACTCAACTGAGGCCATACATCACACTCTACACTAAAACATATTGAACCCAAAAGAGTAGTTAGTTCAATTATAACTCTAGACACACCGAAGTATGCCTCACCTTACCATCTTAACGCAAATTTGCTCAACCGCTGATTTTTACCAAGGATCAGATTGCTCCCACAAACAAAGAAAAGCCCCAGTTTTTTTTAAAAAAAATAGCATAAGTTGGTTTGAGGCACATTGAAAAGACTGGTGTGCAACATGAAGAATAAAACACCATAAGTCTTTTTTAGTTTTTTAGGACAACAAACAAGGCAGTTTTTTCTAAGGGCTAACCTTTTTTAGTTCAAACCTGGAATCACAAATGACACAATTCCCACCCATCAGAGAATGAATCTTTAGACTCCAAAACAATATCTACAGAGAAATAAATTCACTGTTAGGGGTTCGATAGATCAAAAGAATCAAAAGAGATTAAAAACTGAAGTTACTTTCAACTATAACTGCCTTCTTTTTTAAAAAAATTGGGCAATCACCTAGTACAATATTTTTTTTTGAAGAAAAAGCACTGCATAGTACACCAAGCAGTACCCACCAGAAAAAAGTTATCTCTTTGACCCCAGCAGCGTAGCGTTTTCAGGAGCTTACCTTCTTAGGTCGGTCGGATCCAAGAGTGAAGCTGAGCTTTATCAAGCCTCGAATCTTGATGAGAGTAATTGTATTAAAAACAAAGCTAGAGGTTTTCCTCTAATTCCATTGGGAATGGATTTTCCTACTGTCCCACAAAATGACTTTTTGTATGAATTATTAGATTGGGAATGGTTAGGCCAGGGATGAGTATGGTTCTTGTTAAAATATAGAAGAACCGTTTTATTAAATGCTGTTCTAAAATTCATTCTGGTCTTAATAAAAAAAATGCAGAACTGTTTTGGAACCGACCAAGGTCAAAACGGTTTGGTTCTTACATTTATTCGGTTCCTGAAATATCTTGCAATCCCTAAAATGAACGCAGACTAACTTCGTGGCTGCAGAAAAATATTCAAAGTTCATATAATTAAAAGTGACATTTTTTCAAAGATACCACCATTCCACACATCCAATGTGAAAATATTACAAAATCCAAGATTATGAAAATAATAAACAAGGCAATTAAGTTCAATCCATGATGGAAATCTTGAAATAGGCATGCTAAGTGCCTAGTAAAGAGGTTTTAGGTTCCAAGGCAACAAGAATAACACGCCCAATAACAGGTAAACTTAACTGCTAATTAGTGCATGAAGCACTTTTTAAGTAACCCAAGTACCCAACAACTAACCCATGATTAAAAACTAACACACACACAAATTAAAAAGGAAATAATAATAATCATTTTAAATCACTACAGCATGTTTCACAGGTCCCTTTTCGGTTTGCATTGTTGGTAGGTCCTTCCAGGAAGGTATCACTTGGCCTTATTTTTTACTTCACACTGTTTTCACATCCTGAGACTGCTCCCAACCTTTCCTTCCCTTCTTCCTGCTTGTTTGCAATTCCCCTCAACAAATCTTCCTTATGACTGTTGAGGGCCTTCTCCTTCAAAACATCAGCATATGCTCTGACCTCCGGACCAGGTGTCTTATCCCAAAAACGGTCATTCCTTTCGGGAGATGGAACGTTGTCAAGTCTCCCGCATTTAAGATATTCCTCCTCCCTATCCATGATCTGACTAGGTTTGTTAAATCCCAAGTTTTGATCCTCCTCTCCACCATCTTTTTTGGTCTGCGCTTCTTCTTCTTCTTGCTTTGCAATTAGCTTGGCAATTTCCCTTTCAATTTCCCTCTTGAAATTTTTATTCATTCTTTTGACCTCCATCATTACATAATCATATGTGCTCACCTCCGGACCAGGTGTCTTGGATATAACTCGGTTCGGTCTGCAGCGTTCAAGACATCCATCCTCCCTACCGAGGATCTTACCGGGTTCCATAAACCCTAAATTATGATCCTCCTCTGCACCATCCATTGGAGCCTCGTTTAAAAACTGTTTTGGGACTGTGAAGGACGCCATCTTTCGAGCAATCTCACTTTCCCGTGTGATGCCTTAGCCCTAGTATCTCGAATCGGAGGAGAGCTTGTGTAAATCAAGCACCCAGATTTTTAAAACATAGCACCCTGTAATTTAATTTCTTTTTATTATTTTTTATTTTATAACAAATTCTTAAATTATGTGGTATTATTAAATCAATTTCAATTAATTTCAATATTAATTTCTATATGTGAATTTAATGTAATGTCATACGTTTGAAATACGAAACTTTTTAAAATGATCATAAAACAGTACCAAATGAGCATACATAATTCATGGTACCATGAACTCGGACCATGGCCCAATTACGGAATCCAGCTCATAACGGGATCAGCCCTCAACGGGATTAGCCTAATGAACAAGATAAGCCCGTAAACAGGATGAAGCCCTAAACTGGATCAAGATAATGAACCGACGGGCCTAAAAGGGAATCAGGCCCACAATAGGAACCCACAATCAGGCCGGACTAGACACGACACATCAGCTCCTGTTTTAGTTTCCAAGTATTTTTGCTCGAAAAACACTACACAACCAAAACAAAAACAACATTCAGAGTGTGAAAATGAAACAAAACGAAATAACTAGAGTAAATAAGTTCTTCAGCTAAAAAAGGCGTAGTCAGCATCAGGTCTTCTGGCGGGCTGAAGACCAGTGTCCACCCCATCCCCGTTTTTTGGAGAGTATTGCGCCATAACATCCTTTCCAGCATCCTCCTTCGCATGGTCCTCCCAAGCGCGTCTTCTCTTCAGCTCTCCGGTCATTCCTTCCTCTTCGAGCTCACCTGAGACCCAACCCTCCTGCACTCCCGCCTTAGTACTCTCCCCCATCTCATCCGAGACCAACTCCTGCCCTGATCTCACCATATTTGACAAGTGCGTTTCACCACCATAGGAGCTTCGAATTGAAGCTGCCCAAATTTGGCTTCGACTTCCTTCCACTCGCTCTGAGCCACGGCCCAAATAGTTTGGTCATAGCTTGTCCCTCCTTTTCGTACAGCTGGGGAAAAAAATTTCTCTGCATGTCCAATCATACCACAACAAAAGCAGAAACTTGGCAGGTTTTCATACTTAAAGTCTACCTAATGCCCTTCAGGCCTTCACCCTTGTTTTTCCTTAGAGTGGTTCCAACTTTTAAGGATTTACACGTATTCATGTGAACTCCCACACGCATATAAGCCTTTTTTTACTACTAAATTTTTGTTCATCCCATGTGATAAGAACCGAACCATTAACAAATAACTAATTTTGTCAGGATATCACCCGGTTTAACCAAAATACATTTAGTTATTTAACCCAAATTAAGTATAACAACAACGTAACTTTAATATACATACTTATCTAGCTTAAGCCATTCTACCTAGTAACTGATTCAATTTATAATTTCCAGATTTTATTTTCGCTAGGCTCTAGTTCGATCTGCTAATTAAAGTTTTACATTTTCTTTTTCTTTTAGAGCTTAACTAATATCATGTATTTACCGAATACTAGTTCTAAGTTATAAGATATGATAAAGAACATGCAATATATTCATCATGTATAACTTAACATGTATTTACCGAATACTAATATTTGTATTTAGAGCATACAAAATATTCTAAGGCTATATGAAATTCATCATCCCCATAGCTTAACATGAAACGGGGACGGAAATTATACTTTAAATAAGACTGGGTCAGAAGTACTGACCTTGTAGACAATTTCACCTAAAATTGTATTGATATGAGAACCTCCAAGATGGCTCCTCCTAAATGGCAATATTCCTCTTTTTGGAGCTACTCCGTATATTTCTTTTAATGAGTTCTTTGCTTAAGTAAATGTTTAGATCTTGTGAACAAATGAGAGGAGGTAAGCTTCTTTTAAAGCCAAATGAACCTCAGTGAGTGGACTAGGAATTTCATGAAGCAAATAATTGCTTTGTCTTATTCTCTATCTCATTAGTACCACATACGTATGATGATCATCCATTTGTCCATACCATGAGCTGGCATTACTATTCATTTGTTTGAATGCTTCCTCTCAATAAATTTAGTTTTAAACAATCTATATAGCTTTTTGAAAGAAAGATATAATTTGGATCATAAATGATTCATCTTTGCACCGTTTCTGGTCTTACACTAGAATTCTGGTTATTTTTCACACTATAAAATAATCAAGATTCCATATATGAACTAGAATCATGTCGAATGTTACATATTGAGTCACAAAATTTGATGGTACTTGTGTGGAATATAATACTATCATGTTAAAAATGAAGTATAAATCATGTTTTATGATTTCATCCTTTAATATAACTTATTTAATAATATGATTCTATGTATCTAACATTTATCATATTATAGAAAAAAAATTCAAAGAGTCTGTTGGTACTTGGTTTGAAACTAATTATCGCGAATTGACACACTTTTTCATGTAAGGACTTTTATTCGAGATTAAAGTCTTCAATGTATTAAGCTCATCCTACATATTAGAACACTTGTCATATCTTTGACCTTTAACTTCGGACAAACATTATTTACACTAAATAAGAAAATCATCAATGCCACTTTTCAAAGAGAGTGTAGTAACCATATCAACATGTCTAACTATAAGGATTTGCTCCATCACTACTTCATGCCGTTCATGGTTGTTTATAACTTATACTATTATATCTTACTACAATTGTTATGTCATCAATGGAGTCTTTTATAGCTTAGTTTTTTTTTTTTGAAATAATGATAATATGATTCAAATAAAGATAGTGGACAACAATAAGATTTAGTAACTACAATGGTAATTTTAGTGACCATGATTGTGTGCAATCTATCAATACAGCGACTATGCTTAGTAACTATAATAATATTTATGGGCATTAGTTCTACTTCGGTAATATTTATGAAATAATCTCTAGTTTGTTTGACCGGATAGCGGGGGCACAATTTTTATCTTTAAGTACTAATCTTAAACTTCCGGGTCGGAAGCGAGGACACCTGCCCCCTAGGACCCCCCTAGGTCCTCCACTGCTTATATCAAGGGTTTAGAGTGAATTCCTGCAGGCCCATGATTAGTCGGATTAAGGCGGGATCCTCTTATGCTAACAGAAAAGAAGAAGTTTAGTGAATGATAAAAATTGTACTCCGTATATACCACCATATCCAACTTTGTTGTAAAGTTATATTTTTACGGTAAATGCCAAATTTATATTAATTCAAAAAAATAAATGATCGCACAATGCCAAACTTATATAGAAACCATCAGGGCCGGTCCCAAGTAAAAGAAGGCCTTAAGCAATAAAAAAAAATTGGTCTAAAAATTCAGGAGCGAAGGTTGGAGTGGGCCGATATAAAAACAAAATTCAGGAAAAATTGGCACATAAATTTTACATTAAAAATACACACAATTTTCAAATTTGGGATGGATTAGAGCCTGAATGCCCTCCCGTCTACTTCCGCCCCTAATTATATTAGTCATAAGTTACTAAGGATTTATGTCAATTACAAATTATTTATGAACATAACCGTCTATGGATTATATTGTTCGTATTAATGTTTATTTATTTATTTAATGAACTTATTATTAATTACAGAGTATTATTTTAGGATAATTTCACACCCCTCCTTGTACTAAATACAGCCACAAAATTAAATATTAATGGATTAAATAAATACAAATATCCTATTTACCCTTATTATGATATATTATTATTATAGCAAGACAATAACCGTTAGAGGTGTTAGACCATCTCCAACAATCACCAAAACCTACATCGAAATAGGGGAATTGTCGTGTTTTTTTGCTCCAACGGTTACACTAAATTCTACACTATTTCACTAAAATGGTGGAGAGTTTGATTTTTTTACGCCATATTTGGCGCAACAATGGGATATTGGGATGCACCATTTTTTACTCTAACGTTGAGCCCTTCCATGTGTGATGGGCCAAATTTGTGCAGAGATGGGATGCGCCATATTTTTTCTAATGATTAAATAATAAATATTATATGGCGTACACCATAGTCGCACCAATTTTTTGCCAAATCCGCCATTTTGGTGTAGGGGATAGAAAATAAAAATATAATTAAATTTAAATCACACAATATTATAAATATATGATAATTAGATGATTAAATATAATAATGGTAAAAGGTTAGTAAAAAGAATAAAAAATGAATATTCCTTTTTAGTGATGAAAATGGTGTAAACTGTTGGAGATAAAATATTGTTTGATATGATGTTTACACCATTTTAGTGTAAAAAATGGTGTAAACTGTTAGAGATGGCCTTAGCATTTTATTAATGAAGTAGGAATTATTATAATATTATTGTAAAATTTAGTTTTGTATAATTTCAGTTTGTATTTGTGAAATATTGATTATTGTATTGTAATAATGAGTGAAATGCGTGAAGCATGTGTGAGATATTGATTATAGTAGTATTTTAGCTTGTATTTGTGAAATAGTGAGTGAAATGCCAAAATACATATTTAATGAGCGGATAATGATACCATAAAAAAATGAACGGATAATGTATAAATATATGATAATTAGGTAATTAAATATCATAATGATAAAAAATTAGTAAAAAGAATAAAAAAGAATATTCCCTTTTAATGATAAAAATGATGTAAGCTGTTGGAGATAAAGTATTGTATGATGTGACGTTTAACATCGTGAGAAGACCTTACTCCGGTGCCGCAACTCACTTGCTGCTCACCGTTAGAATTGACCTTGGCCTTGTTCAAGGTGCAAACCAGCTTGAAGTCTTCAACTTTCACTTTCCAAAATGCTATCTTCACTTGGTTGCCGATTTTGGATCGAATTGACTTATTCCTTAGAGTTCATTTATTGGGACAGATGAAATCCCTGAAAGAATAAATGAACTCTGAAGAGTGAAGAATAAGTATCCAGTATACGAAGTATTGTACGGGCTCACAAAATCCCAACCCAACAATGGAGTACCTCTAGAATTATTCATTTTGTGAAGAATAAGGCTCACAAAATCCCAACTCAACAATGGGGATACCAAGCACTTACCAGTTATGCTTCACTCCATACTTCGTTTAATTCTCCCCCAGCCAGATAAAGTACTAGTACCCTAGAAGTAATTTCTAATTTGAAATATCAGAACCATTTTCAATAGAAATCCGCAAAAATTTTCATTTAGTTAAACATAAATTGTGATAGAAGATATTATCCTCTGTTTTTTTTAATCACAACATGATGATTTTTACACTATTCACATTTCCTGCTATGACTACATTTTACGCTATTATTTTATGAAAATTATTTTTTTAAAAAATATTGTTCAATTCATCTCGTTACAAATTTTTAAAATCTATTTTTTAATTTTTTTATGAATAGAGATTAAGATATTATTACGGTCAAAGACGTGCGTTGGCAAATGTGAAATGTTGACCGTTAGGGGTAGGCAAAAGTACAAAACCGGCATGGTACCAAACCGCACCGGTATGGTTCCGGACCGAAAAACAGGGTTTGAAACGGATCTCAATTTTTTGTCCCGAACCGGACCGTACCGGTTCGAAACAATGCCATGATCGGTTCTCATAAAATGAGAACCGGTACCGGGCTGAACCGGACCGAAGTATGATTTAATTATTTAAATTTACATTTATACCATTATTTTGACTAATACCTTCACACTTCACCGCCTTTGCTAGTTCATAGGAAGCCTGGAATCAGAACGATGTATAATTTAATTATTTAAATTTGTACTACTATAATCTATTTCAAATTTATTAATTATGTAATACTACTTTCGTCTCAAATTGATTTGCGAAATTAACTTTTCTTGGTTAAACGGTTTCATTTTGTTCACTTACTTAGAATGTCAATTTTTAATTATATTTAATTTGGAGCTTGCAACTTTGAAGAGATTTTAATGTAGTTTCTGAATATGTAAATTTTAATTATTAAAAAAATGAATTAATTATCAATAAAGAGAATTTAACTTTAACATTGGTAGACAAAAAAATGTTGGCTTCGCATGTCAATTTGGACGGAGTGAGTATGAAAATTGATAAATTGTGTGGATTTTCGAAGGATTGCTAAACTTTAATTTCCTCTTAAACACTTGGAAGAATTGGCATTATTTGATATTGAATAGTCATGCTACGGGCCGGGTATGGGTTCGACCAAATATTGGACCAGACCGGACCACACTCACCCATATTGATCGTTGCAACTAAAAAAGAACGGAGGAGATATATTTTTTTTAGATCAATTAAATATCATTCTCGCCAAGAATTATTTGGTCATAATTGAATGAGAAATTCTAGAGGTGCCCCATTGTGGTTCTGAAGAGTGAAGAATAAGGCTCAAAAAATGAAGTGTCACAAAATTTCCATACCCCTTCTTAATCTATGTGCCCAAAAGAAATGCTATCATCAAATTGGGACGGATGAAATATTAAATAGCTCATAAAGTATCTTTTCAACTAGTTGTGTCAATCATACCCTTATTAAAAAATTGAGTATTTTGGTTTAACTTTTATCCCCCCAAAAAACAAGCATTGCTACTTGCTATCATCATCATCAGGTCCAAAATAAATAAGTATTTGATTAAATGAGATTTTAATAAGGATTGTTGAGTTTAATCCTAACACAATATAGTAACTATAAATATAAATGTGTATGAATAAGCTATTTAACGTGAAAACATGAAAGGGATAAAACTATTTGGGCTAATGTCCAAGCCACTCCCTTTCTCATTAAACTCTCCTCACCATTTACATAGTACAAATGTTGAGCTCCCATTAATGGAGTCTTATGCTATTGCTAACTATTCTAGAGAGGAGGAAAGTGTAGGGGAAGAACTGAAGAAGAGAAAGGATTGTCTAACATAGAGGGAAAGTCCAATATTTAGGGTTAGGGTGCAAAACCACCCTAACGAGCCAAGTGGGCTGAGATGGGCCTAAAGAGCCAAAACAGGTCTGATAGGCTGGAATGGGCCTTGTCATTCGAACTCTGTACTAGGGCAATGCCTTGGCCCCCTAAATAGTAGTAGGCCGGTATAACATACTTCAACAAGGATGTTTTTCTTGGACTAATTTCAATCCCAAACCACACTAGACAAGTTAAATGGATCATACTTAAACATATCGGACCAGATCAGAAATTTCAGCCCAACTAATAACATTCTAAGAACAAAATGAAGATTATGAAATAGAGATAAATTAGTAATTGTAAACAAAGATACGTAGTACTCCATACATTTTATTAGTAATGCATTTATCATTACGATGTGTGGCTTTGTGCTGCAGCTATGACCGACTTCCCGGTAATATTGGTCCATCGGACTTGATTTCCCACCAAAAAACAGCAGAAATCATAAGAGTAAAGCATTACTGTATTTTCTTAAATAAGTTGATCAATACCGCAGGTACCGCAGGCTTCCCCAATTCTTTACCATTTGGTCAGAGACTCGTAGAGACTCATAGCAGGTGGGATAAGATCCAAACAAAGGCATCTCATCTCAGTCATATGGCATGTTCACCAACTAAAGCTTAGATCTGTTGGTGTTGCCATCACCAAACGTAAGCACAACCTTTCCAACCGCTTTCCTATCTTTGAGAGCAGAGAAAGCAAGATGTGCCTGCACATATGCAAAGAACATTTCAACCAACATGTTTGGAATGGAAAGAGGGAGGGAGGGAGGGAGGAAGGGATAAGAACACATGAATAACTCAATTCAAGTTCATGTAGGATGCTATCATGAACATGTGATGGATGAGCATGCGGCACAATTCAAAGGTCACCACCATGTGTAGGAAGTGGCCTCCGCGGGTTCTTGGTGCATCTTATAAAGAGCACGAGTGACGCTAAGTCAACCCTAAACAAGAGTACTTGTTAAGATGTTCATTCCATCATATATAATGGACGGGGGACGCTCTTCAACATTGCAGGACACCTCTTTCTAACCAGGCAATTATTTTTCTTCATAGAGAACCCACATCATGGTAACAACGTACACATATCAGGCTTGATTTTAATACCATGAAAGTACCAGGCAGGTGTGTAGGTTTTTACCCGCTACGGCACATTACCAAACAATTAATCCCCAACTAGACACTAGTCACACTAGACCTAGCTTGCTGCCTACAAATGCTGGCGCTATTTATGGTAGAGAAGGGAAAAGGGTCTTACCTTTGACGGGCTAAAACTATGAGAGATGTTTATGGTAATCAATCCCCTCGAAAGCCAAGATAAGAGCTCATTGACAGAATTTTCAAGCACACTTGGTTGATGTATCCTATAGCTTCCCCAGTACAGGCCATGTATTGTCCAGTTCTGCAGATAAAACATAGTGTTACTGCCAGATAAAAACAGGGTCATTGTGCAAAATTCTGAAATTCAGGAGCGAGGTTTTGAGGTATTAAATTTAACATATGTGATCCCAAAAAAATCGTTCAAGAAAAGAGGTCTACCTCAGACTTATTTACCACTCAAACCCAATAGACATTCAATGTGGGAAGCTCACAACACCCCACAATCTAAACTGGACTTTGAAAACTGAAAGGATGGATGAATGAGCCCCAACAGGCCCAAGCCACCAATAGGGTACAAAATGGGCATAATCTGGGCCCTAATAGCCAACGGTTGAGTAGGCAGGTGCCTGTCAACTTTGGCCTCACTCACCCAAGACAAATACACCAGTCCCAAACACAAGAAAAATAACTGATATGGGATACTAAACACACTCCACAACTAAATTCAAACTTGACAAGTAGACCCAAACTCATTACACACTCGATACTCAACACACACGGCTCATTTAAAATCGGGCTTGACAACTGAAGGGGTACGCAAATTGGCACAAACAGACTCCAAACGTGCTTCCCCAAACTACTGAGTATACAGAAAAAATGAGCTCAATATGATCCAAACATGCTGCTGCCACAAACCATAAAGTAGGCAGGTGCCATACAAACCACCAAAAATTGTACCATGTTGACCTGAGAGTTGAGACTTGCACACCTAACAAGCATCTTCAAAGAAATAGGTTCATCTAACTCTTATATGATAAACATAAACCCAGTAGACAAACGACGTGGGATACTCAACACCCAAAAAGGCAAATAAAGCAAAACATGAGCAATGTAGCGTGGAAATGGGAACTTGAAAGCTAAAAAGGAAAACACACAAAACATCATTTTCAATGGGAAAAAACTGTAAAAAAGATTTCCATGGAGTTTCCTAATGGTTCTGCAGAAGTTTCCAAAGCATGGAAATGCCACAACCTAGGAGTTTTAGCACATCAAAACAGATAAGAAGAAAGTAACAAAATAAAGGAGTTATATTTAGAACAAAGAAGTGCAGCACCTTCACAAGAGCAATGTTTGCTGGGATGATAGGTACATCTCCACTTGCAAACCCAATGACCAAAATCTGTGCACCCCAATTTAGCAGTTTCAAGCTGTCTTTGGAAAGCTTTCCACCGACCGGATCATACAGGACATCAACCCCCCTTAACTTTCTTGATTTTAGATATTCCTTAACGTTTTCAATCACATTGTCCTTGCTCACATCAACAACATGATCAACACCCAAAGACTTCAAAAACTGCACCTTTTCATTTCCCCTAGGCATACATCCAATAAACACTTTTGTAAGTTCAAATAGCATTAATAAACAATCTAAAAGGGCATTATAATGTTTCTTTTCATTGTAAAGGTCTCTAACTGAAAAGCGTTCTTGAAACCAGAACAGAAAATTAAATAAAATATAAAAGAGTGATAAACATCCTAATGAATCAAATATTACAATAGTAACAGTAACAAATCTCTAACCTCTGTGGAAAAGCAAAACTAAGGTTTAATTAGGGCTGGAGGAATTATACTGGGTTATTTACATAGGTTTTCAAAATGTACTATGTACATCTAAAAAAATAAAGAAAATACAAAGACCTAAAATTGTAGTTTAATTCCAACTCTAATCTAGGTAGCCAAGTGCAACTGTGCAAAGGAATGTTCATATACAGTTCTTGTGCAATCATTACAGAGTACTATATAAAAATATATTTTCCTAATACATTGACATAAGATATTTATATTTTATAGCTTACTACTACAATTTTAAGATAAGTGGTAAGCTAAATAAGTGATACCGGAGTACAATTTTTGGTTATCCTTATTTATAAGTGGCTGACATTGGGATAAAAAATACCTGAGTATTATACAACAGAGATTATTCTAGCTAAGAGTGATTGTGTATAGAGGTTTTACTACACATGATCCACAAAATCTTTCATCAAGAAACTTGATTACGGTAACAAAGTATTGCCACGGAGTATGATTCTACCAAGTGATTGAATTTTTTAATGGTGAAGCAGACAAGTACCTTGCTACGGCAATAACAGTAGCTCCGTAAACCTTCCCAATTTGAACAGCTGAAACCCCAACGCCTCCTGCTGCTCCAAGAACCATCAAGACCTATCATGAATGACCAGAATCTCACATTATATATATTATTTAACAAACCATTATAGGCAAATTCCATGTGAAACAACCTGACCCCGACGCAAACGTGCCCTGTAAGAGAGGGCCACGTGTGACGTTCCATATGCCACGGGAAGTGAAGCAGCCGCAACAAGATCACAACCATCAGGCACTCGAAACCTTTAATTAATTTTAATCACATTAATTCAAATAGAACTAAACAGGTTTCTAAAATTCTATAACCAACCGCAAAATAAATAAATACATACTCTAAAAAATAATATTATTCTACTATAAAAATAAATAGATACGCCCTAAATTATCAGAGCAGAATGTTCAACTCATAAACTAACAAAGAATAAGTACTTTTGGACTTAATTGGCTAAAATGAATGCCACTAAAAGTTTTCCGTTTTACTAAACTCAGCCATTTCAGCTGCATAGCATTTACTTAAAAAATTAAGCTTCAGTGCCACACTACTGCCACTCAGTATGCATTATGTAATTAATAATTTTTACCCAGTCACACTTATAAAAGAAATTTCCAGCATAGGGTGCATACAATTTTAAAAAAAAGTACATAGCGAAAAAAGGGGAGATAAAGGGGGAAATTACAAATCTGATTCGTCGACAACAATGAATTGGGCAAATGAACCGAGACCCGTAAAAGAGCACACAGGATCGCCGGCTTTGAACTTGGTGACGTTTGTTCCGACGGCGTCAACGATTCCAGAGTAATCTGATCCCGGGATGAACGGCAGTGGAGGCTTCTCTTGGTACAATCCTTGGATTTGCAGGTAAGTGGCGAAGTTCAAGCTGGTGGCTTTTACTCTAACCCGGACAGAATTGGGCGAGTTGATTTCTGGGATAGGATATGAAGTTGAAAAGGCGAGCGGAGAGTTCTCCGACGAGTTGGGTGGGATTGTAGGATCGCCGATTTTTCTGCACACCAAAGCTTCCATTTTTCCTTCTTTTTTCACTTATGCTGCGATCATCCGAAGCCTGCCAACATAGGAAACCCGGAATAATGAAAAGAGAAATGCTAGAGGTACACACTTAAGCTCTGTGTACACTCGTCTGTCTCTTAAGAAAATTTTGTCTGTCACAGACAATTCATATATGAGTTGTCTGTGACAGACAAAATTTTCTTAAGAGACAGACGAGTGTACACAAAATGTGTACACAAAGTGTGTACCTCAAGCATTTTTGTAATGAAAATGATTCGGTATAACAAACTTTGGACATGGTTTCCACTTTCCAATAAAAAATTAAGTAAATTAAAGTTAGCAAAATTGTAAGTAGCACTTGAGATGTTTTCTTTTGAACTATTTTCAGTCCCAGATCAGATCAGACCAGACTTAAACGGACCAGACCAGATTAGGCTTAAACAGACCAGACCAGACCAGACCAGACCAGACCAGACATGACTTTCATAGTTATAAATAAAATACACAGAGACCGGACGTTTACCAGACCAATTCAGACCAGACCAAACTTAAACAGACCAGACCAGATCAGACCAGACCAGCAAATTTCAGTCCAAAAGAAAACATCCCCGGTAATTATTTTAGTTGGTTGAAATGACTTGTATTGTTGGAGCCATTTTTGTTATATACTACTTTCCTTCTCTTTTAATTACAACATTAGACTTTTTGCATTATTCACTATTCTATTTTAACTCTATTTTATTAATTAATGTATTATAAATTAAATTTTTAAAAAATATTGTTAAATTCTTCTCATTCTAAATTTTCAAAATATGAATATTTTAAATTTTTACTAATAAAGAATTAAAGATATAATGGTCAAACTTATGTATTGGCAAACATGAAATGTTGATAATTGCAATTAAAAGGAAACGGACGAAGTACTGCATAGTAGTATTTACTTTTCTTTATTTTGTTAATAAAATTCACTTTCTTTCTTCTTTAAATTGCGTGATCTTTGAGTACTTTAATTAATCATTGTTAAAAGTACCTCTATAAAACTATAAAATTTAAAACTTTCATAATATTATACTAATCAGAATCATTTTAAATTTTTATCATCTTTGACTTGAAAATTTAAAGATAGTAAAATTTTAAAAGACGAAGGTAGCATATTTTAAATATTTCCTTTATTGTAAAAAAATTATAATATTTATGTTTGAAATATTTTAAAATAGCAAACTTATACGGAGTAATAAATTTTTATATGAAAATACCAGGTTTTGACTTAAGTAAATGTCATGTTTTTAATTTTTTTATATTCGGAGGAGTGAATGTGTTGGAGTCAATTGAATTTAATTTAGTGTCTACAATTTGTCACTACCCTTTTATAATATGCCTACTATATATCTACATTTTTCTTAGAAGCTTTCTGAAATATTACTCAAATAAAATTCATGGGAAAAACATATGACTGGCATATGCAGATGTAAATATGGCTAAGTGTATAAAAAAATGGTCATGAGAAGTGCAATGTTATGCAAATATTATTGTTTTCACATCGATGTTCAATAAAAAAACAACACTTCATGAGAAAAAATTTGAATGTTTTCAAATAGATTAATCAAAACTAATAAGAAACATACAGAACCAAAAGAATATGAAAAGAGAGGATGGTGAGAAGAAGAAAAAGGAGGAACTTACATGTGCATGTAACAAAGTCATCCATCCATTGTCGCCATGACATTCGTTCACAATCAACGATGAAAGAGAAATGCAACTTGTCCAAATTAATTAGGGTTGGACTAATGATAATAAGGGTAATTTGGTAATCTACATTCTTATTTAGAAATAATAAACACAAAATCCTAGGTAAAAGAGCTATTCGCCTATCGTCGCAGGGATTGTCGGTGTAGAAAGAGAAACGTACGGTGAAAGAGAGCGGCACAATGAACAAATGAGAAGCGTGGTACAGGTCTTCCAAATTAGTTATAGTTGGATTGATGATAGTAAAGGTAAAATAGTAATCTAGAGTTAGGTTTAGGTAATAATAAACATGAACTTCTATTTAAGACAATTACAAATAATGCTACTTATTGGCTAATGCACTCAATCATATAATTGAAGTGTATGCAATTTTAAAAAATAATAATGTTCCAAAATAATTAATTACTTCAATTCTATCTTTATTTCAAAAGTATTTGACCTGCACATATATTTATGTAAGAAAAGTTTCGTTTTGAATTTCTACTCATATCTCTACTTTATATCAAATAACTAAAATTGATGATAATTGTGTCACTATTCTTGCATATTTTATGATCATGTATGTAAAGTTTGTTTTAGGAAGACAATAAAATTTATTAAAATACTAATTTTTTTATCAATTCATTAATATTAATTCTTATAATATTTTAAATTTCAGAGTATATGAATAGTAATTTTTATTTGGGCTCGATATACTACGTATACTCCTTCACAGTCGACATTTATGACCTTTATGAAGGAAACACAAATATCTTTCAGCCCATTTGCAACCCTGGCCCATTTAAATATTACACGCTGTAGCTCACTCTCACTTTCACATCTGGAATCTCTAGGTCAGTCCGGCCTTTTCATGCCCCACTTCGCAAGTCTGGATAATGCTTACTCACCCATCACGAAATGTTCATCTCTCCCAGGGGCGGACACACATAGTAATTAGGGGGGGGGGGGCAGCTGCCCCCAATAAAGAACCACTTTTTTCTTGGTGTCCATTAGAAAAATTAACAAGACTTGAAATTTGCCCCCAATTAAAAAACAAAGTTGCCCCCTATTGGAAATTGAGCTATCCAATTTAAACAAAGAGATGATATCAGGTTTGACCGTGTGTAGCCTTCTAGCAGAAGAGTTAGAACTTAGAAGGTATGAAATTAGTTTTAATATGTTTAGATAGAAGAAACACTGAGAACTTGAGAATCCTAGAAATTAGACAAATGACATCAATCCAATTGTGCAAAAGTGCACATTCCTAATACACCGTCGTACTCTACTTCAAAGCTCATATTAATTATTATGTATTGCATGTATATCCATTATCCAACTATCAAATACATTAGGAAATTAGAACTCTTGATCTAGAAGTTGTTTAGATATCATAAATAAACAATACAGTTTATCTTGTGAAAATGTAACAATTTGAAATTTAAAATTAGATAAGTAATAATGTAAGTTACTTTTAAAAATACTAAAACTTATATTCATTAGCAGTTAGCGAAATTGTAGCTTTTCTCTTCCAACTTAAATATAAATGTATACTAACAATTGAATTTATTGTATTATAATTAAATTAGCTAAAGTATAATAGTTACTAACCATAAATTCAATTATATTATAATTAAATTTACAATTTAACATTGGTTTCAGATGGTTAACAAATGCAATAACTTTTTAATAAAAACAATAACTATTGGTTGGTTAGATTAAGATATGAAGCCTATAAACAATATATAGTAGTTACTAAAATTTACATTTTTTTCTAGATTTTATGGACACATTTCAAATACAAAACCATCATCAACACCGAAAAAATCAAATACAACTGTATCTATAGTACTTCTCATACTTCAATGCCTAAAGAAGTAATTTGGAGAAACTTCATTAACTCATATCTATGACTCTTAAAAGAATTGAAGAAAAGTTTGTGACTATCCTTCTAATCAAAGGGATGAAAACTCGCAAAGAGAAGTCATGAAGTAGCTACTTTATCATGATTTTTGAAAGTGTAAAATACTTTATTAAATTTTCAATATTTAGCATTTTCTTTGTTTCAATTTTTTTCTACCTAATATATTTTGTTACACTTTTTTAGTGGGATGTACTTCACTATTTTTTCCGCCCCCAATACATTCTTTTCCTGGATCCGCCACTGCTCTCCCTTCCTAGTCTCATATTCCATACAACTCTGTATTTAAAATCGCAACCTTAGATAGGGCCATATGCAAAGAATGTGATGCGTACTTGATAGAAATACGAGAAGGTGACCAACAATTTCGACACTCATTTAGTCATTTTTGACGACTGGTGAGTGTGAGTGGTTGCTTTCACTACATTTTTTCTATTCTCAATTGAGAGGGAGTCTGTTTTGAGGATGTTAGATCTTTAATTTATTAAAGTGCATGTTTTTTGTTCAGAAATGGCTACTCCTATAGCTTTGCTCAAAGGATACTCTAATCTATGATGTTTGAGCTCGCGGCAGCCAAACCCTTGTATTGGAAAAGGTGAATCTATCATTTTTTTGTGCTTGATGCTGATTACTCCGTAGTATTTGTATACTCAACACCCTCTATTTTTGTAGATTTAGTTGATGCTGAAACAACTTTGTACACGGAGCTATCAGCTATGGCGACCTTGGGCTGGGTCATAATGTGCAGGTTTGGTTTTACAACAATGAATGTTTTCTATCCAGTTTACGTAATTATATATGAAGTTGTATTTTTTTATTAGATTGGAATTTATGTTGCTAATGGTGTTGTTCTGCTTTTATGCTGCTTTTATCTTGCTTTTAGTTTTTAAAGTATACTACGTATTTAGAAAATACTACGTAATAAAATATGGTTACCCCCATGAAGTGGCTTCTTATTTTTCATTTGATGTATAGCTCTCGCTTCCATGGTTGGCAATGTTAGTTGATAAGTATATTCATTTATGATTAACTTCTCAAATCCATTTTAATATCCAATTGGTAGAGATGTTATTCTTTATTATTCTTATATTTATAGAATAATATTTTTCCATAAAATTCAATCTGTTAGATGTTGGTGTATGTGTTCGCAATTAGCTAAAATCTGTTAAAGTAAAAGTTAGTACTTGCATCGGTTTAAAAATGAAACATGACTGAGACATTTTATCCTGAACCGTCCTATTATCTCATTTGTAATGACCTATTTGCACGGATACGAATACGCCGATACTCCGATACGTGAATACGAGTACGACGATACGACAACTTCAAAAATTATAGGATACGAGTACGGAGGTATATTTATAAATAATAATAATAATAATACGTAGACGGTATAATTTGCAAATATGTATAATTTAGAGGTTCATAAATAAAATAATAAAAGTACCAAAAATTA